GGTATGGTGCTGTAGGTATCATCGTATGAATCTTGACGGGCTTCCTCTTCGTCACGCCCTACAATTGCATCAACAACTATCTGACAAAGGCTTCCAAACGGAGGATGCTGGAAGCTGAAGAGATCAAACATAACGGATGGGAAAAAAAATACCTACTTCTATCCCTCTCATTCTTCTTTCGCTCTTTTCTCTGTGCATATTTATGGGCCGCAAGTCCCGCAGCACCAGCAGCGGCAAGTCCGGCAGTTGCAAGGTCTCTAGATCGACTTCTCTCTCTACGTTTGTCGCGACGATTCCTCCCGCTTTCTCGATCAGATGATGACCAGCTATCTGTTGATGGGCTGCGACGGCTGCGACTGTGGGTGTGTTTTCGCGGTGTATGGTACGGGCTTTCGGCTCGACCATAGTAATTAGAAGCTGGGATACGGCCGTATACCGGATCATCACCATACTCGATCAGATGTGGCGGAACACCGACCTGGCTCTCCGAAGACGATCGTGCTCGACTTTTAGACTGAGATCGACTGCGTGCACGCCGTGTCTCCTTTTCCTTCTTGTCTTCATTCTTGGCTTTATTTTTCTCGTAGGCGGCAGCAATCGCAGCGCTTCCTAAGCCAGCTGCAGCGATAGGGATTCCGGTTCGAATTCTGCTGCGCGAGCGGCCTTTCCTTGATCGAGATTTGCTGCGTACGTGCTCGACTAAGCCAGCAACTGCCGCTCCAGCAAGGCCGGCTTCGGCCATTCGTCTGTTGCGATGGTCGGGGTCGCGTGCATCGGAGGACGAAGAAGCTGAAGAGGAGCGGCGACGATGCGATCGACTCCGGCGACCTGAGGACCTCTGTTTGCTGCTCTTTTCGGAGTGTTTCTTGGCTAAAGCAACGGCTCCAGCGATGGCAGCCGCACCTAATCCAAGTCCAGCAAGGGTGCGTGCCCGAGAACGTGAGGTCGAGGAGGAGCGACTACCATGCCTATGGTAGCGTCGATGATGATAGCGATATCGACGACGGTGATGATCCCTTCCTCGGTCGAGTGACTCGCAGCGATGGCGACTCTTGCTCCGGGCGCGGCTTTTACTACGATGACGGCTGTGAGCCCTGACGATGGCGTCTGCAGCAAGGACACCAAGCGTCCCTGCGCCAACATCCTTACCCAAACGTGCTAGAGTGCTTTCTTTGCCCTTTTCTGAAGCTTTCTTGCTTTGATGGCGAATCAATTCCGCAGCGCCTACACCAACAAGGGCACCCTCGGCGAGATGCCGTCGATAGCCATGAGGGCTTTCTTCCTTATCGCTCCGACGGACATGAACTATGTCGTCATCACTGCTGCATCTGCGCCTTCGTCCGCGCGATGGTCGCGGGCTTTCAGTGCGATAGCTTATCACTTCATATCCTGGATATGATCGTCCATTGTCATATTCACGAAACCGCCTATGATAGTAGAAATCATCATCTCGCGGATCACGACGGACCATAAAACGGTCATCCATCGCTTCGGAACGATGGACTATTTGGTACTCCGAATCCGATCTGGGAGAGTAGCTGGCGTAGCTGGGCGCTCGATAGACCGCTGGCACATCCATGTTTGTCAGCAGGGCTCGATGTGTGAAGAATGGGGGTTTTGGTTTAAGAGTAGAAAACTTGTATATAAAAGGGAGACCTACGGTCGAAGTCTGTGTCAAGGCTATATTCGTAATCGTAATGTCGGGGCATAGTGCGCCGGTCTTCCCGGTCCAATGTCCGGATTTCGAGCTGACGGTCACTGGGATCGTCTCTTCGGCAAGCTGCTGAATTGTCGTCTGGAATGACGTAACGTCTGTAGGTAGAATAGGTCGCTCTCGGATCGGAGTGGCGAGAGAGCTCGTCCCAGTCGCGATCCCGATCTCTGGATGGGTAACTCATCTACGCAGAGGGAGGAGAATGATATTCTTTAGACAAAGGCCGACGGAGAGAGGCTCTGTAGCGGTAAAAGCGAGACTTGACAGCAATAGACTTCAATTGACGGGTCACCAGGCAGTGTATAAAGAAAAACGTTGAAAAGGACACGAAGCTGAAGGGCGCCAGAAAAGTTGCGCGGGAAGAATAAGGCTGAACGAGACGACAGACGGCGCGGGGCGAGAGAGGAGAGAGGGGCGGGCTTGTGGTTTGGGGATGGTATGTACTGTCATAATACCACCAGTCAGAGCGCGGAACGGGGATGGATACGGGTGTCAGGACGGGGTAATTACAAATCAGGTTCTCCACGGCGGAGGGATCACAACAGGATAATATTCGGCCGTGGGCGCAAGATGAGAGGCGGATCGTCGCTTAGAGGACGCCCGGATGGCCGTGTGGTATGGAACTCAACACTCGCTGGCAATAGCATGACCCGCGCGATGACGATGGCCAAGCCAGCCGTCGAGAATCCACTTTGCTCGACGGAGATCACCGCGGAGAAGCAAGCCGGTCGAATCAACACTTTGCCCCTTTGCCCTGGGGAGTCGGCGACTGGAGGGACCCGACTGTGTGGAGGGGCAGAAGGATTTGAATGTTGAGTCCCAAGGAGGATTCGACATCATATATGCCCTCTTGCTTCGGGAATTTTTGGGCAGGCCGATCTCCCATCGAGCCCGAGACAACGCCCTATTTCACCCATTGGGAAGCACAGGCTGCTTATCCAGGCGCCGCGTCCATCTGCAAGGGAGCTCACCTTGCGGGTAACTATTCGATGCACCCTTTCGCCGAGCCTCGCGCCCGGTTCCTGCCTTGACCGTTGCTCTCAGCCAATAAGTTTCGCCTCTTTGGCTGCTCTCCAAAGCGATGGACCGGGTGAGCAGCTGTGCGCCTCAGCCTCAGCGTGCACCCTGGTCACGCTCCGCACGCCGCGGAGCAGCAGCATATGCGCTTTCAAACAAGCGCCTCGTCTCGCATCATTGTTTGCTCTTACTTTCCTTACTGGCAAGAGAAGCTTGACGTTGGGATATACTTTGTGCTACTCTGCCAGCGTACCATGGTTGCTGCCCGCATTTCTGTGAACTATGTAGCGACGCGAATCTCCATACTGTTTGGGGGGTACTTTCGACCACAGATTGTTTGGCCAGATAAGCGCTTCCGCCTGCTGCTGATCCTCGACTTATTTCGAAGGAGACCGCATACACGATGCGAGTCTCGTGCTTTTTGAAAGAGCATTTTGGTCTCCGATTGGCAAACGAGACGCAGTGCTGACCCTTGGTGAATGCGGCGCATCCCATCCAGGTCGGAAATGATTATCAACCAAGCATTTTCGGACTTCGAAATGGACCACGTTTTCGTTCGCCGCACGGGGTAATGTTCGCTCAATTGCTCTCCAGGCAGCCTGAAAAAACAACTGCCCATCTCTTAATCATCGCCAATTACTGGAGTATTCGATCTCCTTTGGTGCTTTGACTACAAGAGTATTGGTTTCGAAGGCATCTATGATAGGGCATCAAAACTTTATGACCATGAATTGATTAAATCAGTGAATGGTTTAACGGATATATTACTTCAATCTTAAAGTGAATTACATGTTAATTGGAGGCAAGAACGGGAGAGGGTTGAAACAAGCCGCATATACGTAGTCGTTCCTAAAATGGTAAAAGCGGACGACAGGTAATTGATTACTTCGGGAGATGCATGGATTTCGAGGTCGGATCCGCCGACCATGGGGCCATCAAGGTGCAAAACAGGGGTGAAACGATAACAAAAGGGAAAAGCGGCTCAGCAGCCTCGCCTTGGGGAATCAATGTTGTGTTGGAGGTGGCTCAGACGAGGCTCCATGCCCACGGTCGGGAAGCACACTTGGTATACCATATCTAGCACTATTCTATGTCATTGCCATGCTAGCCGTTCGTCGATGCGGTATAGGTTCAACTGGGTTTTACCGGGCAGTGAAATTGTTCTTCCTACGGGTAATCACTCGAGGGAAAAGGTGGTCAGCGAAGTTGACCAAAAAGTAGTCGCAAGAGGGCCAGGTGGGCTGCGAGAACATATCCTATTTGTGGGTTAGAGGAGTAAAGGACAGATGTAAAGTAAATTAAAGCTGTCGAAATTTCAAGGCGGTACAAAGTGCAATTGTAATCCTGGCCTCGAGAGTCGGTATAGCCTTATTTGCTAGAACTACTAGGGCTGGTGTTGAGTATATGAAGTACCATCCTGGAGAGCCATGTGAGCCAAATTGCGTTATTGGGGGGGGGGGGGTCAACAAGTTTTTCCTCTGGCTGCAGACAATCATTTCCTGTTGGATCCAGCCCTTCGCAACCATTATATATGTGGTCCATAATGCCACACGCATAATTTCTTGAATTGCAAAAACACCAATGGCACTGCCTGGAGGCTGGCGCGTGGTCATAACAGCCCGCCAGAGTGCAGACCATGGAAAGATTCTGTCGAGCCTGCTTTGGCGACGACGCATGACACTTGAGCTGTAGGAAGAGCCATACGCATTGAATAGCAACCAAGGCAACATGCAGCATCACAAGAGCCTCTAAAACTCAAATTCGTGCGCGTGCGAAAGTATTAGAGACGTAACAAAAGGAAGACTTGTTCAATTCGTAACTGAGATATGGGGATTCTGCTCTTAAAGAGAGGTATAACTATACCGTCCTCACATCCAACCGAATTTAGAATCCATTCGTCCCTCCCTGCGGAGAGTATGTTGACAAAATTCCACAGGCCAGGGGGGATGTGATCATACATAACAATGCACTCGTCAAAACGTATGAGCCCAAGTGCCCCTAGGTAATAGTAGTACTGAAGGCAAAGGTTATGCTTGGGCAGACTAAATTCCATCTTCATCAAAATATGACACAAGAAGTGAACACGGGCTCAAGGCAGAGAGGGAGTAAGATACGGAGTACATACACAGCTATCCATAAATACTCTGCCGCCGACATTTTAGACATAATTATTATTGCCGGTTCGAGGGTCAAAGAAGCAAACACGACCTCCTATGGCCCAAGATTTTGACTTTTGAAGAAATTGTCGGAAGATATTCCCTTGACGAAACCCAAAGTGCGAAAAGTGATCATTCTTTAAAGAATATGAACAAGAAAAAGGACTCTCTCTCGCCAAATCTTTCTCGCTTTGCTTCTGCTTTTCCTCGCACATGAGTCAACATCGGCAGCTTTAATACCCACAACACTCATAAGAATTTCATGTGTCCATGCTGGCATATCCCCGTGCTTAACTATGGAGACTGGGTTAGCAAAAACGGGAATCTGTACTCCGTAGCATGCGAATTGTTCAACTTCTTCAAAAACTTTCAGCATGGCCAATCCCCTCACGAGGAAAACTTTGTCGACTTGGAAATAGGCGGAATCCAACTTTCGGATGTTCATCTGCGATTTGAAATCGTTTTACGATCATTTCCATTCACAAATGGGCTAGTTACCTCCCCCGAAAACAAGTGCCATCCAAGAAAGGATGAAATGAAGTCAGGGTTATATCAATTCCTCGACCGCTCTGCACAATCGCAGCTAGTTTGACAATCAACGACGTCATGGCTGGAAAGACTTTGTTTATTATTTGCCGGAAATCCACTCCATATGCACTCCGCAGTGACTATTAAGCGACGGCAAGTCGAGTCGAGTTGATGACGGTTTTTTTGCAGTGAGGTATTCGGTGAGTCGGCAATCGCCGACGTTCTCGGTTGCTTCTCATAGTTGGGTTGAAAATATGATTCCTGTCCAGGATCTGTTCGCAGCGACAGAGACTAGGAGAGGGACAAAGGGATGATCAAGAAGTCATGCCCCGTATTTTCCTCCATGGGATCCCCGCCTCTATGAAGTCCCTAGGGATCCAAAAGTCGAGTCGTCCAAGCCAAGCGGGAGTGGGCACGGGGCAAAGTCTAGATGTCTGGGCAGCGAGGTTCTGGGCCCCCGTCGGCTAAAAAGAGAGACGGCCTTAGAACTAAAGGCGGTCTAACCACGGTGTGTTTGGGACAGTTGAGGATGCGGAGATTTGGACACATCGTGAGAGAAGCCTGCAAGCATCCTTGACACCAAAGGGTTGATTTTTCAGGAAAGTTGGAAGGTTGTTCCCATTCGGCCCAGAACTCAGTTCCAAATGGCAGTTCTGGGCACCCGATGATAGTGATCGAACGGGCCCTTTAATCACTTGAGTATCATCACCCTTCAAGCGGCCGTCAGGTGGAGGAATATTCCGCCCAAAAGAGTCGCTCTTTCGGCGTCACTCCAGCTGTCTCGCTTTTTTAAGGTGGACATCGCGGAGTACGTTGGTGTACTTCCAGATTGCTGATCAATGGCGGTCAGTAAATGTAACGGTATGTAAATAACCGATCATTCGGTTACTGGACTGTTGCACAGGTTACACGCTAATACAGGCCGTTTTTGAGTAAGAGCGGGAATCGGCAAGGCCCGCGCGCACGAAAACACGCACATATACTTCCCCTCTTTCTCTGTCTGTGTGTCACACGGACTTAAAAAAAAAAAAGGAACGTTTTAGGAATCCTTGCTTGATAATGAGGGTTTTCCGACAAGATTCTCATTTTCATGAGTCTTGGTCCCGATGCGTGTTTAAAGCAGCAATACTCCGTACTGTCGGCAACAATTAATCCGGCCGCCGAGTAATCTGCTCTGTACTCCGTACTCCGTACTGGGTATGTAATTTGAGACAGCACCATGCCACGCTCAGCCACATGCGACACTCCTGCCGCAAAGAGGCACACCGTATTTGGATATGATACCTGTAACGTACGGTCACGCCCCGTCTCAAACGGGCCTGAAATTACCAGGGAAAGTCCGCTGAGGTCACTTTTCGGCCACGATCGAGACGCTGACAAAACCGCCACCACCATGTCCATGGCCGCCCTTCGTCATCATCATCGGCCCTGCTCTTCCATCTCCCTCCGTCAGACTGCAGCTCCATCTCTCCACAAAGGCTTGAACGTCCTCCCAGGGCAGTCTAGGGGCCATTTGCCGTTCTGCAATCTCTCCCCGCATCGAACTCCTTGCTTCTGCCCTGCTCAGGCACCTGGACTCCTTCGATTCGTTGTCAACCTCTCACAATCACCTTTTCCCCCCTGATACAGGTTCGCTGTCCTTCGTCTGGCCGCTTCACTTCTTATAACGTCTCACTAGGACCGTGGACTTGCCGGTTTTGTTCAGCAATTGACATCGTTCGCCCTTTGACGTGGGCCACCCTTATTGGTCTCATCGACGCTAACGGCCAATCCACACCACCCCAGCAGTGCCATCTCCGCCAACCGGTGTAGCTCTTTAAGAGCCTAGCAAGGAAGACAAGGACTCAACAGGATCATAAATTACGGAACACCAGGAACGTGGCGTTTGACACCCGACGCTTTGTGGCCTGGTCCATCACTCCGGCCAATCCGGCGAGGCTTTTTCTCCCTGCTGGTCTGCCCAACTTCTTCCCGGCAACCATCGACCTTCAACAAAATCACGAACTTTCGATGATGTGGTCAAGCCCAGTCCAACAATAACAACAAACGGCTTTTCTGTCGCTAGGCCCTTCGATCCTGGCTCGTGCTGGACGATCTCCTCACCCCTTGCCATTTCACCAACCAAAAAAGCGCGCAAAAGTTTTCGAAGTCCGATTCGCCTGTCCCTCATCTGCAGCATATTTCAGGATGGAATATCTTGGCTCGAAGCTCTGAGGTTGGTAGCTGGTGCATCCGTTTACTTTGCAAACTGCAGGCGGGTCCCTGCGTGCGTGAATCACCCCTTCGGATTCGATACTTTGTTGCTCCTCCAACGAGCGACCTGGCTTCGTACGACCAGTGAGTTAGTTTGTCTCCGCCCTCGTGCCGTTTGAAAATATGTCAAATCAACGAAACCCTGATTGGGAGATGCCTTCTCCTGCCACCACTCGCAACGGGAAACGCGGCCAAGGCCGACCTTCGTCAAACCTCCAGGCTCCTCCCTCCACGCGTGACGTGCAATCGAACGGTACAACACAGCTATCGAAGTATCTCTCGACCGGACAACACGCTCCGTTATCATCCACAAGTTCTGTGACTTCCTCCCGAGAGGCTTCTCCGAATCGAGTGCCGCCTAGAAGTGTGAATCCAATATCCGCATCAAGGACCACTCCAAGATCTCGCAGGAATAGCCAGGAATTGGGTCCAAGTCGAAATTCAAGCTCTACTTCGATCAGTCGAACCCATTTGCCGGCTGCCCGTGATTTGGAAAGCGATATTGTTGATTCAAACAAACCACATCTTCCACCGCCTACTACAGATGCTTCGACAGACCTATCCCAACCAAATAAATCAAACATGCCTACAAAATCGGGAGATCCTCCTTTACAATGGCCTAAATTCCATCGAATAAAGTCACCACCTCCTGGCCTACCAACCCGAATTCCTTTGCAACGCACAACCTCCCCCAGACGTGCAGACCATGATAACATCTCCGCGAACACTGCAAGCAAGAGGCATCCTGCGGGAAGCGATAACATATTATCTGCGGACAAGTGTCTTGAAGCACCAGAAGATGCCCAATTTCAGAATCCTACCCGCGGCGTGGGCCGTGGAACCGCACCTGTCCTTGAAACAGTCCAGGAGGGTACGGTCCCAGGTCTCACTGCGATTGACCCGCCGACTGGCGAAGATCCCGGTGAAGCAGCTAAAGTTATAAAACCCTCTGGGGACAGTGGCAGTGATAGCGGAGGTAATAAAAGTGCCGGATCGAAGACGGACAACATACAAAAGCATGGCCCTACTAAGCCTAGGTCTGACGAAGTCCTTGCGAAACGTTCGTTTACTTCGCTGAACTCTGTCCGTGGGAAAATTGGAGAGTCTTCTATGACAAATATGACTGTGGAGACGGAAACTGTCAGCTCTATACCTCAAGTCTCACTCGGTGGAGGTGCTGGTGAGCGTGGTGGGCTGGGAAGGAAAGACGGCAGCGCCACAGTTCGACTACGTGCCAGCGATGAGACTATCCGACCGAGAAAAGAAAAGAAGAAAATTCGTAAACCAACTCTACCCACTGGAACAGGTAGGGTTACAGATCGTTAGGCTTGAATAAATCCGCAGAAGCTAACCTTGGATTGTAGCATCGTCGAAAGCGGATATCTTCGAAGCCAAGGTAGCAAGCGCTGTTGAAGACGCAGACTCATCGGACTCTGCGGAGACGTTTGTTTATGAATCAAACCCTCCTGACCCTCATCCATCCAGACAACACCGATATCATTCTCGGACCCCAAGTGCGGCGTCCGCGGTTGGCCAGCTAGACCAGTACGGAAATCGAATGCGTCCTGGCGTCAGAGATTCACTGCACGGTATCACAGGGAAAAGAAGTATGAAGTTTACAAATACTTCCTATAACACCATGGATGGTGAGGGCGAAGATCGCTCTGCTGGTCGAGGCACCTCGAGAGGGCATGGGCTGCATACAGCACGCCACTATCATATAGGGCGACATGGAAGAAATGGTGCCCATCAGGGCGCATTAGATCAATCGGCTTTCCAGCCGTCCCAAAACCCCAAGTCCTCTCGTCACTTTCTTGGTAATGGTCGCAGTCGAAAGCTAAAAAAAGACGGAGACACTTACGGGTACGATTTCGACGCTGAAGGCGCTGACGATGAGCGGACTCCCTTGGTTGGTGCCATTAGAAGTATTCGGGGCCGTCATGGGCGACGTTCAAATGGTTCTAGCCTCCGACAGATGGAGTATCTTGGACAGAGGCGAATTGGATTTTGGGCACGCTATGGCGTGTGTGCCTTACTTTTAATGCTGTTTTTTGTTCTCACCAGTGGATCGACTTTATTCATCATCGGTGCCACGCAGCCGCTTAAGAACGTTCGTGTGAGGGAAATCCAAAACGTTCTAGCCTCAGAGCAGACAATCATGCTCGATTTGGATATTGAAGCCGTTAACCCGAACTTATTTGCGCTCACTATCGACGATATGGACGTAAATATTTTCGCGAAAAGCAGATACGTCGGCAGCGATTCTTTTTGGAGAGACCGTGGACCTCATCCAAAAAAATTGCCTCGAACTACAGAGAGTAAGAAACGGGCGATTAATGCGAGAAGTCTGGAGAGCAGCAAGCGGGGACATCCCTCGAAGGATCTAGCCTCGATCGCTACTGTCAACGTTACAGGTGGCGTTGACAAAGGAACCGATCCAATGCCAGACGATGACGTTAGGGACCCGCAGACAATGCTACTAGGTCGGATTTTCCATTTCGCCTCGCCATTGACTTTCGAGCCGTCGCCTTGGAAACATATCGCATCCAACTCCACTGGCCAGGTACGGTTGACAAAACCAGGAAACAAAACTGAGGAGGGAGGATCATTAAGATGGGAGCGTGTTCTTCAGCACCCATTTGAATTGATCGTCCGTGGAGTTGTCAAGTATCAGTTGCCGTTGAGTTCCGGCACCAAGTCGGCTTCCATAAGTTCCAAGATCAATGTCTTACCAGATGAAGACAGTAACGGCGACAAAGACGGCGATGCTGATGATTCTCGAGACCATGACGGCCATACTCCAGATGATTCAATGCACATTGAGTGATCATCAATGGCTATCGTTCCTTCCGTCAGCGGCGGCCACGCTACTTATACAGCTATTCTGAGTCTCTTAAATCATTTTGGACACCCGCCTTGATCGTATCCTCTTCCTACTGAAGCCTCAAAGAACTTTTACCCCTTTCTTACGCTGAATTCTTTACACATGATGCCCCCGCTTGATTGTGACAACATTTATTCATTGACCTTTTATTAGCACTCCCTTTTATTCCTTGGGTAACTTTGAAATTTTGCAACTGTGGAGCATAGCGATTCCTTTCCCCATGGGGATGGACGAGAACTACTCGTCACTTGGCTCATAGCGCTCCTCTTGTTTTTGATTTTTGGTGGGACTTCTCTTAGATCTTGGACTTTTCTTACCCTATATTTCCCTGTTTTAATTTTACTCCCTTTGTGAGTCTTTATCGTCAGAACGGACTCATCTTAACCCCGAAAGAGCCGAGAAGGAGGAAGATAAACGATACTATCGCCTGTACTTTACTCTTCTCCAACCAAGGGAACAAGTGAGGGGACCTTTTCGTCTCCCTTCGATTCTTTTAACGAAAGCGATGCCAATGCAAATTACAACTATATAGACTGGAAAAAAGGCAGCGAGATGCAAGTCTTGGGCCAGGACAGGGCGGATTGGGTGCAAACGGATTTGGATTTCACTTTTTGATCGTCTTTCACCCTTTTTCTTTTCTCTTCCGTTTTCCTTTCTCTCTCTTAATATTGTTACACTATTCTATGTATTTTTTTTTTTTTTTTCGGGGGAAACTTTTTTCTTTTTACCTCTAATTTCCTTTTAATTATACCCCCTACATACATACCCACTGTCTTGCATTTTATGGGATTTTACCAGGACAGCCTAGCCATTCCCTTGCGAGAAATGCACCAACGAATTTCTTTTGTGTGAAGAAGGAAAAATGATGAAAGAAAACTACTTAATGTGGAATGTGTGAAGAAGAAGAAGAAAAAGAAAAAGGTTAAGTTGAGTATGACATTGTGTGCTGTGGGGATGGCAGTGCAATGATATTTTGGTCATTGCTATTGGCAGTAGAATAGGATATCAAGATACCACAGCACCGCAGGAGGCATATTGGAGGAGTTGAATACACCATTCTTACTCCAAGCTTATTATACATTGGCAAGGCATACATCATTAGGAATATATGTCAAGCTATCATACCAACATGCTTTATAACATTTGATTAACTTTGCTTGAACCTTTTACATATTCTGAGAGCTGATGTTGTGAGAGTGCTCGTTACTCCTTTGGAGGTAAACTTCTGCTTGTCAAGATCGCAGTTATATGCATGTACAACTTCACAATCATTGTTAAAATTAGTGTACGGAGTACTCTCATCTGTTTTTCTTGCTTCAGGAGGTTACTTAAAAGCTGTGCACAGATGGCTGTCGGTTCTGAGAGACAAATGTTCGCAAAATTCGCGATAATGATGTCATAGCTAGTCTAGTACTAAGTTAAGCAAAACGGGCCTGCTGAGCAGAGGAAAATACAACCATTGGAATTAGTATATATACACATCTCTCCACTAATCCAAAGGAACCGGCTTCGAAAGAAGCATGCATGAAAATTTTAGAATATGTAGAAAAGATCAAAATAGCCACGAAACCAATCAAGGAACTGGAACTCGGGGGTGGGACGCCCAGGATCCAAACGCCGATATTTGGCCTATATTCAAAAGAACATAGCTATACAAATAGAATATGCGACTAGCCTATCTCTAGTGGCGGTGAGGGAGACTAATTCCTAGCATCAGAAACGTTACATTCGTCAATGGCATCGTAAGAATCACCGGTGAGGGAGAGGCCGTGATAAAAATAGCTCCCAGCGGGGTAATCACACGATTCTGTATACTCGTTTTGCCACGTAAAAGCAAACAAAAGCAAAAATAACTAGACCAGCAGTAACTAAAGGCAGGACGGTTAATACACATCACATCCTTATGTCTCGGCTCGGGGGGCAATTTGAAAGGAGAGGAGATTTCACGTACTAGACAAAAACCAATGGAGATTCTCAACATCCTGGCCTGGAACTTTGACGTTCATTCCCCACATGCCGCATATGATATTCATAGGAAGTACGATAGTTCCAAGAACAGTGAGTTTGCCGAGTACATCGGCGGTCTGTTCTTGTCGTTCGTTCATGCGGATGTTTATCTGAGCGAGATAGTTCGAATGAGCCCGCGAGAGTAAACTAGGATCAAATATGAGTCAGCTCAGATGCAGAAGGGGAACAAGACCAGGATTCCATACGTCTCATAATGTGTTAAATTTCCCGTCATTGTTAGAATATGGTCTTGAATATCGCCGAGATATAGTCCAATCTCTGATTTCGGAGCAACCTCCCATTGCTCATTACAGCGCTTCGCAAAGCCTTTGATGACATCGGCTTTATTGCCCAAAAGGCGATAAAGGCCCATGACCTTTTTGCGGCATTCACCGACTCGGCGAAGCATGTCAGATCCAGAAACGGCAGATTCCGGCGGAGCCGTGTCATTTGGATCCTTAGAATCAGAGTGCATTCGTAGAATTGTGTCATCAATGTCATCTACTTCTTCCTCAATGGAATGAATCAATGGGCCAAAAACATCAGTGATATCATCGATAATAGCGTAAGAGATCCAGTCAGAGTTCAAAATTAAATAATCCTTCAGTTGGCGAATCCTGCGTCGCACATTGGCAGGATGTGGTGTCTGTGAGAAATGAAAGCTGAGCAGGCCTTCCCGAAACACTATGACATACATGTTCACAGGCTCAAGGAAGTTTTCGCTATTGACATCCTGTTCAAAGGTCCGGTAGTTAATGAAGTAGTAATGACGGAAGAGTTCTACTTTTTCTCGTGCCTCCTGCATCATTATATCTTCCGCGGTCAAGGCGTGTATTCCGAATGCTTTGGCAATTATACGCATTTCCGCATCCGTAGGACAAAGCACGTCTAGCCAAAACGTCGGTCGCGGACCATAACGCTTCTCCTTCTGCGTAGGAGAAGATCCAGGAGCATGATTTGGGCTAACTTCTCTCGAGTCAGCCACCGCACTGTCACGGTCGCTTCTTCCGTTGTAACCAGGCATTGATAGCGAGTTTGTTCGAGTTCCGTTCAAAGTAAGTGGACGAAATTCGTCTTCTTCCTCCTCATCGCCTGATTCCAGCTCAGGCGGCTCAGGGAAAAATAAATCTTTAAAAGTCTGACCGGGCTGCACAAGCTCAGAGATGGTCTGGCTGTGAATGGTGCTTTGAAATTCCTCGTTGAAATAGGTGAATCGATAGGGTGCTTCTTCCTCTTCACGTCTCCAAGGGGCATTTCGAGTACGCAGCCTTCCGCCAATGAGAACAGGCTCGCTGATCTTCTTTGCTCGGATACCCTCCGTTCGCTCTTCCTTTTCTTCCCGGCTCCATTCCTCCAGAACCGAGAGGTCTGGCCACACTCTTCTTCTCCGTCGTCGTGGCGTTGCCGTATACCCTTCTATCGGTGGATGTGGAGTAAACTCCTCTTCGCCAAGGTCCGATAACGCCCCAGTCGGGAAACACACGTCTTCTTCAACGGGAAGAGTAACGGTCCGACGTCGCTTAAGTGAAACCGGAGGCGATGGTGGAGCAGACCCAATCTGATCAGCCCTGTCGGGGCCTTCCATATCGATGACCACATCTCGCGGAAAGGCGGGCACACCCCCGCCTCCCGGAGATTTCGAGCGACTGTACTCTTCACCTGTAATAAGCGAGTCGTCATACGCTATCTCCGCACCGGGTTTCGGGCTGCCGGGCATCGAAGGTGGATTGTTCACATCATAAGACCTCTTGGAATCGTATGCGTCCCTCGGCGAGTGAGAGATGCTCCTACCAGAAGACCGTCTCGAGGGTCGAGGTATATCTCGGGCATCCGTGCCATACCGAACGAAATTGGTATTGTGCAGTGAGGTAGGCCTGATGAGAGGGGTTCGATCGTCCGCTTCATCCGATTCCGGTTCGCTTTCGTCCGAAGTTTTGACACCTAGACGAGCTGCGCTTGGACGAGAGCGGTTGTCAGGCGAAGCGAGAGACGATAGAGGAGGATACTCTGGACGGGAGCTTTGGGCAAGCCTGCTCTCACGGCGAGTGCGCATCATCGGTTGGTTCCTGGAGGATCAAGTAGAATGTGTTAGTCCTCCGTTCTCTGGGCTTACGGGTACGGACCCTGATCGGTGCACGACTCATACCTATGATCCAACAATGCCTCGCTATCCAAGCTGGTATCACTCAAAGTGGCCCCTCCTAACTGGCCCAGCCGGTAGAAAGATGCTCGGCGGGTATCAGTCGGGGCCGCAGTCTCGCCCTCTTCAGGTATCCCCTCGGCTTCTCTACTTGGGGAGCCTGCGGGTGGAGTTTCAACGGTAGCCGGGGCAAAAGAAGGCCGTCGATGTCGTCGCCGCTTGTGGTGTCGGTGTTTTCTCTTTTTACCATGCCTGTTACTTGCTCCTTGAGGCCCAATCTGGGTTTCTGGGAAGGGTGAAACTCGATGGGGACTGCCCTGATATGCCCGTTGTACGTCACGACCAGGGTTGGGCGAGCTTCCCCGCGCCGTGGGAGAAGCTGGAATGTTGGTATTGGACATTACGGAGGGAAGAATTCGAGGATCCTAAGACAGCAGATAGTCATAAGTACTGACATTAACCAAAGAGCGCCTGCAACTGGCGAGAAAAGGAGCTGGTTGGCGCTGGGTGGATGGTGGGTGTTTCGCTTGCGGGATGGGCGAGGCGATGGTGAGATCCGAAATGACGTTGTTGTGTGGCTGGCCGTTGGTCGCGGGCTCGTTAAACCGGCCACCGAGACCGCCTTACTTCGGCTCCTGCGTGCAGAGTCCAGACACGTCAGACAGCAGCAGAGATGAGCTGGCTCGCAAATCACAGATGAGAATCGCAAAGCTCGGCTGGTTAGATTGATCGTTGTGTCGGTTACTGTTAATTGCGCAAAATAAAAAAAGCTTTAATATTATTATTAGTTACTTACATGTTCCGGTATCTCACAAGTCGTCAATCGTCGTCATCATCAGATCAGGCCGGCTCAAACGGCCACATCAATAAAAAAAATAAAAAAAAAAAATTACAATACAAACAAAAAAAAAAAAAAAAAAGCAAAACCAGAGAACATTGTGTATCATCAAAGAATCATCCCACTCCCGAGTCCAGTCCGTCAATCGTCAGTACAAAATTGCCCATAGCAAAAGAAAAACCGAAATCACCCCAACTGTGTACAGTACAAACTTCCATGGCCATTCAGGTCCCAAACGCCGCCATCATACCTGTTAGGTCAAGAAAAGGTATCTCAAAAACAAAGAATAACAAGTAGCAGGAAATGAGTGTGACGCCTCATATCAAGTTACTTGTATCCATATCTATCGACGGGAAACTCTGGATCGACTGGCTCACCGGATTGGCAGACAGCCGGTCGCCGCTCAACACCCTGACGACTTTCTTATCTTTGCCTGGCCTCGCAACAAGGACTTGAGCCGGACAGACAACGATTTCTTCGTCACCTTCACCTTCATCGCTGCCCTTCTTGACAACCAATGGGAAGAGAACTATGCGAACCACAGCCTGTTGCTCCTCAAGTTCTTCATTGGAGGTGGTCTCTCCGCTCCGCTCATTCATTAAATTGGCGTTGAAATGAACTTTGCGCGTTAAGTCGCCATTGGTGTCGTACTCCGGTCGTAGCGGAGGGAGCATGATATATTCCGCCTTCTGTGTGCGCATCTCAATGGAAAGGTTGACAGCTGCCCTCATCACTTTCCGGAGAGAATCAAGAATGCTTTTCTCTAATTCCTGTGGGGGAGGGAGGAGTTTGGATAAGGTGCGGTATATCTCTTGAACGACCGCTTCGGTGTCCAGGGCCCGTTGCTCTTGGAACGAGCGTCGTTTGGAAAGCAGCGACAGCGTGGTGGCTCTCCATCGTTGAACGGCAGCCGGCGGACCCACTTCGCACAATTGTTTCTCCAAAGTTTTCAGTTTCTGCCTCTGCTCCCTGTCCATGCCAAAGAGGTAGCGTGTAAAGATATAGTCCCACATCATCGTCATGACCACAGACATGAACACGTCCCGACGCTTTACACGGTCGGCTAGGTAAGAATCAACGTCAGAGCCATCCAAAATTGAGTTTTCAAAGCGGTCGGCGACTTTTTCGTCTCGGAGCGTACTCGTCAAGCGACACAGGCGCATGTCGGAGAACTTGGAAAACCGCAAAACCCATTGCTGCACGTGGTGGCAAAGTTTCTGGCAAGCAGACTCAAAGTAGTCCTCGTCGCGAAAGGTAATGATGTTATCGTGCGACGAGGAGACGATCTTCTCCTGGAGTTCCTTTATCTTATCTTGAGCCTCCAGCAAGTCCCCTTGTAGCCGACGGATTTCTGCGTTCTTCAGCGCCAGAGCCGTATCGACTTCACTGCTCACTATGCTTTCCATTCCGGCAGACAATTGGGTATACTTCGCTCTGAGATCCTCCAACTCCTCCCGTGATCGCTGCCATTGTTGCGCGACTTCATTGTGTTGGTTTGTTTCATGTTCCTGAGAAGATAGGAGTTTTGCGTTGGTCGCTGCGAGGCTCTCGTTTAATTCGGTGAGCCTCGCAAGTTCCCTCTTCAACCATTGAGTAGACTTCTTTAGCTGATTTATCTCGGAGTCTTTATCTTGAATTTCTCGATCGCGCGTTTCGAGCGCCTTTGCTTGTTGTCTCTGGGTGATTGTTTGGGTTTCCAAGGCTTTCTCGGTTGTGGCCTTCGCAGAGGAGAGTAGGCGATTTTCGGATACTAGTTGATCCAGACGGGTTTCGAGGTCTTGGAGATGCTGCAGACTGCGCCGACGACGGACGCTGGGTGGGCGTGACGGAGAAAGCGGGGAGCCGGGTACATCGCCCCAGCCTTCCTATTTTTTGAGAACAAGATGCAAAGTCAGTTCCATCAAATTTCATCATCTGGGGTGCGAGAAATCATCAACCAAAAATCGAGCCCAGGGCGGGGTGCGACTTACATAGACATCCGCCGCCATGCCTCGCAGCGGGAGTTTGCCCTTGTCGGTGACCGGGTCGTAGGTGGAGGACGAAGGAAGCGCCTCGATGTTTACGTCTTCTTCTTCTGGTTGGGCCGTCGGCGATTTGTTCTTCCGGGCGGACGGCTCGCGTTTGCTTTGAGCCCGGAGATCGCCACTGCCGGGGCTTCGGCGAAGGCGCAGCGAATCCGCGGATTTCAGGCTCTCGAGGCTGACGATACTTGCTCGCCGCACTACCTCACTGGTCTCTGGGGTTTTGAGGATGTTATCGTACGGCCCCGAGAATGAGCGAAGCGCAGGTTTTGGTGTGGGACTTGGCGATTCATGGGGCACCCGCCGACGCTCAATGTTCAGCTTGTTGACAACTGACTGAGTAGGTACCGGGCTTAATTTTCGGTCCAGTCTTGCAAGCTTCACTCCCCTCTCTGGTGAACCAACATCGGAGGAATCACGGTGACGAGTGTAAGAAGGCGAATCTGTTGGGACTTGTTCCCTGATGGTAGCGAGAGGTGTCTTTGGCGGAGATACAGCGCGCGGTTGTTCACCCAGTCCGTAGGGCCCGCCAAACAAAGACACTGATGGCTGTAGGGTAGCACCTGCGACATCATCTTCATCACGAATTGGCTCTGGGCTTCGTTCGGAGCTGATTGAGCGTTGATTCGATGATAGTTCTGGGGTTTGCAGCTTCTCTTGTTTTCGCCATTCGTTTTCAGGTTTACCATCATATTTATTTACCTTCGTACGATAATCCGCTTGTCGTCGGCCGTCTTCAATAAGTCGTGCCGATTCGCCGATATCAGTCTTTCCGCTACGTCCCGCCAATGTTTTGTGAGACCCTTTTTTCCTCGAAACCCGCTCGAGATGCGGGAAAACGCTAGCCACCGTTCCTGCTGCTGTTTGAGTGGATATCGTGTTTCCACTTTCCCCAAACTGAGAAATTGGCTGTTCATGGGCAAGGTCGTGGTGACAAGCCGAATCAGCTACATTCTCGGAACCAACTTCGCGATTTGGTGACGGTGAGGTGCCTCGCTTGCTTGGAGGTTCTTCGGTGACTTTGTCTTCCTGCAGCTGTTCTCTTGTTTTCTGCGCGAGAGGTAAATCGGGCATGACGGCAGATTTGGTTGTTTCAGGGGCCAATTTGTCATCAGTGCTCGCCAGGAATTTTAATTCCTCCGATGCTGGGGTCCCGTCGAGATGTTGTTGCTTCTGCTTCGCTTTGTTGCTCTTTCGTTTTCGCTCTGTTTTGCCGCGAACAGAGTATAGGGTCTCACTGACACTGCTGTTTTCATAAGCTTCAGTTCCCACAGGATTTATCGCGAGCTGTCTGGTGAGCTGCTTCCGGTTTTCAACCGGTAGTTTGTTCGAAACGCCTAAAGAACGGCTTAGCATCTTCATCGAAATCCTCAATGCCCTCCTCGGCTTGATCAAACAAATGGGATTGATCCATTTCAATAATGTCTTCTTGATTGTGGATCTGATCCCCCGACAACAGGAAATCAAGGGAGGAAGTATCTGGCTTTGATGCCTCATCATGGAATGGTATATCATCCATACCTTGGTTAGGGTTGTTCCAGTCAACTGACGGTAGTGAGTCGTCATCTCTTGGGAAGTGTTCCCTTGCCTTAATAGCAATGTATTTCTCGACCATTGGAGCTTCAGCCTCTGGATATACAGAGGTTTCTTCTTCTATATATCGTACAGTTTGCTCATCCAACACAGGGGTATCCCGCTCGTCATCGATTGGGTATTCTGTCGTATTTTCCTTTATCCCTTCCGCTTCTTCAGGTGACCTGGACATTTGCGAAGGACCTTCTGTCCCTGCACTGATGCTACCAAACTCAGGTTCCTTTTCCAAGATCTCGCCGTCCTTAACATGCTCTTGAACCTTCTTTTTCCTCTTCTTTTTTAACGTTTTGTCAGGTGGAGGTTGGTCTGTAACCCCATCCCGCACTATTGTGTTTCGTTGTTTAGCTAAGACTTCAAGATCTTCTAGCTGCTGATTTTCGGGGGGATTAGAGGGATTTATAACCCCTTTTATCTCAATATCAGCTCCAGGGGTTGCGGCATATTGGTCGAGATTTTCAAGCACAGGTAGGCCGTGTGACTCGCCAACTTCGATGTGTGGCGTGAAACCCTCAGGGATTGTGGAACTTGCCGGAACTTCGGAAATGGGCTGCTCAGCAGGTTGGCCATATGCAATTGCAGGGAGAACTTGAATGCCAGGGTCCGCTTCCTCATTGGGCTGGGCAATGATATTTGTGGAATCTTCGCGCTGAGTTCCTGTGACCAGCATTTGTGGCTCCGGAATGTTGTCTTCTTCTGGTTGATCGGTTTCAGGGTTTTCTCTCGATCCAGGCTGCATATAAACGGGGTCCGTTTTCAATAGCCCAGTCTCCTGACTGGGTTCTGTCCTTAGGGATGGGAAATGTGTTATTGGCTTTTCCTGGGGTCCAGTAAGATCTTTCGCGCTTGGAATTCCTGGAACAATGTCCTGTGGAGTTTCATCCGTAGCCTCTATAATGGGCAGACTGTGTGTGTCAATTGGCTCCGTTGACTCCGGTAGCTGCTCATTCTTCCATACTCTTCCCTCGGGGATTTCCGTCCCGACATCTGTTCCTTTCCTTCTCTTGGCTCGCTTCTCTTTTTTCGACAGAGGACGAGCAAATGACTCAAGGGAAGCAGGGTCTAACT